TCCTGTGCCCTGTACCTTTTTCTCTACCCTGGCTTAGTCCCTGGGTCCTCCCCAGCCTCCAGCTCTAGCCATGTCCCCCTCCCCTACTTTCCCCCATGCCCCCAACCTGTCAGGAGCCGGGCACACCGGCACAATGACACACGTCTCTCCCCCACTGCACCCCAAGGCACCAGCTTCTTGGATTTTCCAGAAAGAATAATATTCCACCGCAATTAGGTTAGGGCAGGGAGAGGGAGAGATGGAAGCTGGGGAGTCTCTCACACTGGAGGTGTCGGGGGCACCCTCCCGAGAGAGTGTGAGGGCACAGGTGCACATGCAGTGGCCTGCTGAGGCTTGGCTGGGTGTGGGTCCTCCCTGGGGTCCACCCAGGAGGTACCTCTGGACCCATGTCCTATCCTATCCCTATCCTCACGCTCTGTGGGTGCTCCCTGGCCATTTCCTCTCTGCCCTACAGAATGCCCCACTCTGGACCAGACTGCTACTTGCCCCTCTTGGTACAGGGATTTCACTTCTGCCTAGAGGCCCCTCCAGCTGCTGGATAAAGATGTTGTTCTAGATGAGGGGGTGCCCACTTCCCCCAGGGTGTCGTCTGATACTAGAGCTTCTCTGGAGGCGTGGGATCCATGGGAGCATGAGGGAAATGGGGAACCTGCACTAGCTCTCACGTTCCCACCTCTCACGTGAGGGGTGCCCAGGGCCTCGGGATCTCCCTCTCAGCATCCTCCCACATGTCTCCTTGGTAACCGCTGCAGAGCACCTCCTGAAGCTAAATCAGAATGAGCCGGCTGACCACCGCTGTGGTGACCTCCAGCCAGCCAGCACCTCTTTCTCTGCAGGCTAGGACATTCCTCATGCTGGAGGGCAGGAATTGTATGTAGGCTGGGGACTGGCTTGTCAGTGGGTGTTGGAGGAATGCTGGCATCTGGCATTGGAGCCTGAATGGAACAGTCTGCAGCTAAGGGTGGGTGCTGGGGGAGTAGCAGGCTGTTCCCATCTTTCCTGTCCTTGGGGAAGCCAGTGAGGAGGCACACACCTGAGTTCTAGGAAAACATGCTTACTCCTCTTGGTCTTAATGGGGGCAGAAGTTTCCTGACCTCCCCCCCCCCCCAGCTTCCGAGGGGGCATCGGGAGGCTACTCGGGTGTGTTCCCAGCATTCAGTGCCCCTATGCTGCTCCTTCTCATGCACAGTTGCCAGCTTGTGGCACTGCTAAGGTTGGAGTTCAGGTGGCAGGGACTAAGGAGGCATGAAGTCCCCCACTCCAGCTGGGAACCACCCCCTCAACCTGTGGGGAGCAGGAGCTTTTGCTGGGCCTGCAGGGGTCTTTCCCAGAGACTGGACCCTAGTGAAGTGGCCCTGTCCTTAAGGATGCCATGTCTGGGGACTGTGAGACCTGAGGGGCAGGGGTTCCCCCCCTCCCCATGCCTGATGTCTGGGTAAGACCCTCTCCAGGGACAGGGGCCTGATGGTTCTGGGCTGCCAGCCTTGCCAGCCTGGCTGAGCCTCACTTTTCCCATCTCTGAAATGGACGTGAATGTCTCTGGGTGCTACTTTACTCAGACAGGGTGGCCTCTGGTTACGGAGGTGCCTTTCCAGACGGGACAATCAAGATGTTTTTTCCTCTGTCTGGCTGATAGGATTGAAGCAACAGAGGGAAGGAACTAGCCAAAGCTTCCAGATGGTTCTCCTGTACTTGGCCTGTGGCTCTCCTGCTGGGACTCTGCAGGCCCTTTTAGACCTGTCCCTCTGGGAGGAGCTTCAGGGTGGGTGCCTGCCCGCAAACACACATGCAGCTGCCTTCTCGCTCCCTCCTCGCCATCCGGAGGCTTCAGTGTGAGTGATAGTGTTTCCCTGGCCTGTCCACACCCTCCCTCCCCTGTGCCAGCCACCCCCAGGCAATGCCATCTGTTCCGAAAACTTCACAAACAAATTTTAGAGCCCAGGCTGGGCTGCCAGGGGAGGGTGGGCTCCCAGAGTGGCATCTCTGAAGAGGGTCCTCTGTGCTGGTGGAGGACTGGCATCAAGAGGAGCCAGGCAGTGCTGGAACGTTCTGCCCGGCTGTGGAATTTATCTGCCCTACCTGCCGCCTTGGCCTGGTGAATTCTAGTCACTGACAGCTGGAAGGGCTGCTAGTTGGTATGTGTGACCAGGTCTGCTTGTGGCCTGTCCTCAGGGTTTCCAGAATGTTCTGAGATGCCTGTTCAAGGGGACCCTTACGGAGCTGTGTTTCAGTTTTTTTCTTTTTGAACATACAGGGCTATTTAGTACAGTGTGAGGTACTGACCCTCCTGGACCAGCACTGGGGTTCAGTTCTTGCATGTGGGCCTGGCGGTGACATCATCAAATGTCTGGCCTGATTTCTCGCCCCCTCCCTCACACCCTGCAGTCTGGGCAGACTCTACCTTTGCTAGCTCCTGGAACTTGCTCCTCCCTCTGCTTGGAACACTCCACACCCGGGCAGCTACCCCCTCTTCATTCTGCAGGACCCATACTAGTGGACACTCCTCGGGGGCGCTCCCAGGGTGCCCTGGCTTCCATGTCCACCACACTTTGCCAGTTGGTTCTGGTCCCCTTCTGTCCTCTCCACTCGATAGCTGCTCACAACCATCCCTTCCTACTTGGTGTCTCTCCCACACCCATGCTCAGGGTCTGGCCTGGAACTGAAGACTCTCTGTCTCCACCCCAGGCTCACCCATTCGGCACAAGTCAGGAGAACCACCACCAGCGGACAGAGGAATTGTGATCTAGGCATACGAGTTGTCTGGACATGCTTTTCCCAGGGCTCCGTTAATTGAATAAATTGGCTAATGATTAAAGGAAATTAATTGTGGTTTGGAAATAGTGCGTGTTCTTGTATGCTGTATCTGTCAGTGTGTGGGGGATGTTGTTCACGGTCAGGACCTAGAGCTGCATCTAGGAGGTGCCATGGTACCTCCACATTGAGCCCAGCATGATGAACCCACGATGCTTCTGAGCTGGGAGTAGTCCCACCATATTTGATGCCAGGAAGCCTCTTCGGAGACTGTGGAGGCTGCCTGGGGCAAGCCCACCTGGTTTGGGGAAGTAGCTGGGCCAGGCTGAGCTGGGTTCATGGGGAGGAGGAGGGATGGTGAAAGGAGGGCACCATGTGTGGTCATGCACGTCCCTTGGGGGAGGGGTCTCTTCCTGCTCCCTGCCCCCACCCCAGTTTCTGCACACCTTCCAGTCTTGTACACCCTCCTTAGTTCTCAAGGAGCTGCATTCTGACCTGTGCCCACTTGTGCCTTGAACTGGCTGCCTCAGTGGTGTTCCCTGGGCTGCAGTCCAGAGCTGGCAGGGGGCTGGTGGGGAGGACGGTCCGAAGGAGGCTGCAGGCTTTTGTCTGGGAGCTGGGAAGGGCCCAGTGTGAGGTCCTGTTACACTCCGTGGTGGTTCTCAGCATTGATCAGGATGTTCCTGCTGGAACAGCTGACTCAGCTTGTCCACCTCCCAGGCTCTAATGACCTGGGTCTTTCTGCCCAGGACAGGGTGTTCTCCTGGCGGGGGGGAGGGGGGACGTCTGGGACATCCTAGTGAAAAGTTTGGGAGTTCAGGAAGCTAGTTGGGATGGCCACACAGCTGCTCCCTGAAGCGGTTCTTGCTGGACTAATGGAGCATTGACAAGACCAACACGAGGGCTAAGTGGCCATGACATCATAATCGCACCTGGAAAGCAAAGCAAAATGAAACTCCTAATCGGTCCCATTTGGAAGATCCCAGGAACAAATCTAAGCTAGGAAACGCAAACAGAAAAAAAGGGCAAGAAGCAAGTTTTTTTTTTTTTTTCTTTTCTTTTTTTCTATATGAACTGTACCTCAGCATGACCACAGAGGTGGTGTTATCATTCTAGAAGTTTCTCTTTGTAAAGGTTTCCCAGGTTAGCCAGGAAAGACGTGCCATAAAGCTCAGTCTTCCAGCCCTGAACACCTTATGGAGCCAAGCCTGAAGAGCTACGTCAGAGAGATGCGCCTCCTAGTGGACAAGACAGAGTCCTGCAGGAACAGCTGAACTCCCTGGGCTCCATCTCCAATGCACCAGAGTCATCCTGTGGGACCACCGATAGGACCAGTGCCTCCAGGGAATGCTTGGCGACAGGGATGGAGGAGGAGACAAACCAACAGACTGTTGAACAGTCAGGGGGCAGACACATCAGCCATGCCACTGTGGCTCTTGTCTGGATGCTAACTTCTAAACAGAAACCCATTATGGGCTGTGTGGGGGCTTTGAGGCTGGGTGTCTGGTGATATGAGAGTCTCATCATTGATGTTGTTAAGGGTGATGGTGATGTTTCAGAGTCCCTGGGGTGGGAGTAGTGGTGGTGTTGGTGGATGGGCTCTGCCATTAATTTCAAGGTTGGTTTGAGCCCACCCCGGGGCTACTTCTGAGATTGACAAGGCCCTGGAGCACAGACTACTCTCACACACATGGGGTTGGCATGAGCTGGAGGAGACTTGATGGTAGCTGGTATGGGTTTTGGTTTCCATGTTTCGAAAATACAGAAATTGATGTGCTGATTCGGTGATGTTCCGTTCTGAGTTTGCTTTGTAGTGAGTGGTATTTAGGGGGGTGGGTGATGGGGAGCTTCTCACACTGAGTGTCTTCCACCACAAAACACTTTCCAGTGTGGTCCTGGCACCTACAGTGGGGGTCATCCGGGGAAGGCTCCCTCTTGGAGGTCACAGCAGAGTAGGGGAGCAGGGAGTGGGAGGGAAGGACTTCAGATGGAGGGGATTCCCCCACTCACAGGACAAGCTGCCGGAGCCAAGGGGAGCCGGCATCCTGGTTTCCCCTGACAGAGACCGTGGGGCACGGCAGGGATCCTGTGGGCTCTAAGCCTCTGAGTCTGGATTGGAGGCAGCACTGTGTTATATTGAACAAAGCCTGCTGCTCTTCTTGGGAGGTTTTTGGCAGGAGTCGGGGGTGTGGTCAGCTTCCTGCAGACACAGCCATTCCTGGCTGACCCTGGCCCCGCCTCACACCCAGGTTTTTGCTGGTCTTCTCCTGCCTCGTGTTGTCTGTGTTCTCCACCATCAAAGAGTATGAGAAGAGCTCTGAAGGTGCCCTCTACATCCTGGTGAGTGAGTCTCCAGTCCTACCTTCCGGTCACCAGAGAATGCCCAGGGCAGGGAACCGACTATGGGGCCTCCCTTCCGCCCCCTCCCTCCCAATCTGGACAGCCTGAGTGGTTTAATGACCAAATCAGAGAAATAGGTGTTTCCACCTAAGCATGGTTACCCAGGGAACTGGGATGATCAGACACTGCCCAGGAATAGGTGGGGCCACTTGTGGGTCTGAGCCTTCTTAGTGTCAAGGGTGTCCAGCCCAGCCCTTCCCAAAGGCACCATGCTTAGTGCACTCTCCCTGCAGGAAATTGTGACCATCGTGGTGTTTGGTGTGGAGTACTTTGTGCGGATCTGGGCTGCCGGCTGCTGCTGCCGTTACAGAGGCTGGCGTGGGCGGCTCAAGTTTGCTCGGAAGCCCTTCTGTGTGATCGGTGAGACTCAGCTTGGGCACCGAGGAGATCATTTCTGGGGCAGCCTTCTAAGAGTGGGGATGAAAGGGGGCCAGGTAGCCTGTCCTGGGACCCTGGCAGAACACTGGAGGAGACTGGCGGTCCTAACTTCACCTGCCCTTGGAGGGCCGGGACTGCTCAGTCCCTTCCCCTCTGCGCCCCCCCCCCGTCCCCTGTAGTCCGGCCCCTGGAGCCTGGCCCCGCCCCTGAATCTTGGCCCCGCCCCTGGAGCCTGACTCCACCACTGCCCATAGACATCATGGTCCTCATCGCTTCCATCGCTGTGCTGGCCGCTGGCTCCCAGGGCAATGTCTTCGCCACATCTGCGCTTCGGAGCCTGCGCTTTCTGCAGATTCTGCGGATGATTCGCATGGACCGCAGAGGGGGCACCTGGAAGCTGTTGGGGTCTGTGGTCTACGCTCACAGCAAGGTGAGTTCCGTGGGGTGGAAGACCCCCCCAGGCCAGCAGTCCTGTTGCCTCTCTCTCAGGCTGCCCTGGGACAGGGACCACTTTGTTCAATTTTGTCCAGTTATCATTTGGGGAGTGTATTGAAGGGTCCTGATGGTAGGATAAGGGAGGCTGGTGGGATCTTAGCAGCCCCTTCCTCTACTCTTTGAACTTCTTTTTCCCACCTGCCTGTGCCCTGACCCCCCTCCACATAGAACCTTCCTGAGAGGCCCCATCTCCTTTGCCTGAATCTCCAATCCTGGTCTTTAGTGCTGGTCAACGCTCCCATCTGGAGGGACTGTTGAAGCTTCAGTCTGGGGTGACTGCGTAATGGAATGTCCCAGTTGAGGGTCCTTTCATACTGTCCTTCATTCCAGGACCTTACTATGTTGAGACCATTCTTCTCTTGGGTGGGCTCACCTGCTCAAACAAACAGCCCCTTTCCCCTCCCTTTCCATCTGAGTCCCCCCCTGGAAGAAAGGCAAAGTGGGGGCCAGGTGTCAGAAGGACTGGTCCCCTCAAGGTAGATACAGTAGGCCTTGGGGGTTGGTGGGTGGGCAGGGGCTCCAGGTCACAAGTCATTGGATGGTCTTCAGATCTTATGGAAGTCTTTCAGCTTGGAGCTACAGAGCTGACGGACCAGTGGTGACTAGACTGAAGCTCTTCTAGCCCTAAGCCCAGTGACCCTAGTCCACAGGCTGTGGGGGACAACTCTTGACTTCTCCTGCATGTCCAAGCCTGAGCACAGTCCCCCTCCTGGAACTGGTGTAGTGTCTGGTGGGCTGGGGGCGGATTCAGCTACTGGTGGGTGGTACCTTGGCCACGATGACACCATCCATCTGTCTCACAGGAACTGGTCACCGCCTGGTACATCGGCTTCCTCTGCCTCATCCTGGCCTCATTCCTAGTGTACTTGGCAGAGAAAGGCGAGAACGACCACTTTGACACATACGCAGACGCGCTTTGGTGGGGCCTGGTGAGTCATGGCCACACCACCGAGGAGGTGCTTGTCTTGGTGGACATTGGGCTCCTCCTCCCTTCACCTCCCTCTGCTCCCCGGGGATCTGATGAGCTAGAGGGGACATCCCTTTGGGGCCACCTGCTGGCCGCTGTGCTGTGGAGGCTGTGGAATGACGACTTTGACCCCCTCCCTCTCTGGGACCCTGTAGGCTGAACCTTTTCCTAGTCCTCATTTCATGAAGTTAAGCATTTGGAGGGAGTGGGAACCGATACGTGTATCCATCAGTGGTGTTTAAAGCATGTGTCTTTGAACTAAGTTTGATTTATAAGAAGAAAACTGATTTTTGTCCCATGGAACTCCAGGAAGGCCCAGTCTATTGATCTCTAACTCAACTTCTTCAGTATGGATTGCATCTCAATGTCAAGAAAACAAAAATCCTCACCACTGGACCAATAAACAACATTCTTATCAATGGAGAAAAGATTGAAGTTGTC